TAGTGTCAGATGCATAATCGATACTAAACCGATACCATCTTCAATATGTAACAGAGACACTAATTTCTTACTCTTCAGACACATATCAGACATACAAAAGCAAATTGAAATTAAATGTGCTTCTTTCAGGTCCTGTCAAATGCATATCAGATACATATCAACAGAAATTGAAATTATGTTACGTTTCTGCAATGAAAATCATATTTTGCGTGCTGTATGGGGAGGTATAGTAAAATCTGTGATAGAACGTTCTTTATCTATTAATAAATGTAAATTACATTGTCGATTCACGTGTTATTTACTATTATTTTTTAGATTATTTGTATATTTTTTGAGTATTTTATTGCACCTGTGAGTAGCCGTATAGCCCACCTACAGTCACCAAACTAATTGACCGGACAATACGTTAATATATCGATAATTTCTAAAAATTCAAGATAGAGCAACTTTGTTAATTAATATCGGAAATAAAAATCGCATACAAATGCGACTTGCAGCGCTTGAAAGCGTGAATCTTTACCTTTAATTTTGGTGATTTTTTCGTGATTTGACGCAGGTAATATAGGTTATGATGTGGTTTTTTATTCTCTTTCATGTGATTAATCGCGTTTCGGTGTGAAGTGCGTGGAAAAATTTTTACGTCAATTTTTTTCAACAAGCAAGGTTAGCGTAATTTAGTCAATGGATTTTTTCACACATGTTCACATATGAAGCACTAAACGTTACATATAAACACATATAAACTCATTTTTGGTATTTTTTGGATTTTTAAATAATTTTTCTACATTTTTTTAAATATTAGAATTGGATTTCGTAAACGAAAAACTGCAGATCATCCAGCAAAAGATCTCACTGCATTGTTGAATGCCATTAAAGAAATAAAATTGGAGAAGAAATCGATACGAAACGTTGCTTCGTCATACAATATTCACAGAACAAATTTGAATCGGTATATTTTGCAGCTTGATAAGCAGATCGACGATTTTTCAACAATCAGCGACGACGATTTTTTAATAAAAATTCAATCACTTTGTACG